ATAGATGTTTGTTTTTTAAAATCTACACATTTTTGGGTGCCATTCACATCTTTTTTTTTAAATTTTTACTGAATTTATTACAACATTGCTTCTGGTTTATGTTTTGGTGTTTTGGCCTTGAGGCATGGGAGCAAGGCATGGCCTTGAGGCAGCCCTAGCTCCCCAACCTGGGGTTGAACTGGCACCCCCTGCATTGAAAGGAGAAGTCTTGACCATTGGAACTCCAGAGAAGTCCCTACATCTTCTTTCTATCATCTCTTCCATTTCTTTCTTTCCTTTTTTTTTTTTTTTTAAGCCCACTGCTCTTAGAAAACACAGTTAAAAACTGTTTGTTTCTTGGTTGCTTGCTTGCCCATCAGACGTTTAGTTACCTTGAATGCTGAGTTGCTCTGTGTGTCAGTTTTTCACAGATTTTTGCTTCATTTGAAAGCCTGTCTTTGGTTTGTTTACACTTTTAATTTGGAGTCCCTGGGCATCTCTAAATGGGCTCCAGAACCCATAGATCATCTGATAATGTCTCTCTGAGTTCCTACTCCCTGACACAGAGTGACTTTTGAAACATTTCCATTTTCCCTTTCTATTTAATGTACTCTAGCCCACTTTTTTTCCCCCTCATTTTTTTATAGTCCATCATGAAGTATTTGTTTACCAAATGTTACTTTTCTTGGATCGTGTCTATTTTTGAGGAGTGCAAAGCAAACAACGTTTTGAAGCTGTCAGGCTTCATTTTATTTATGCATGAATAACACAAATAACTTGAAAATGACCTAGCCTGTTTTTCTCAGATTTAGAGAGAAAAACTGCTTCCGGGCAATGTCGATGCCAAACAGTTCATGCCAAGTGCCCCGTTCTGGTGCCAATTGGTTTTTGCAGCCAAGTTGTAAACCTTCAGTAAACACGGTTTATAATGAAAGTGCAGACACAACCTGGGCCATGGCACAAGTGGAACTGATGTAAATTTACTCTCAGAATAAAATTCTAACAGGAACAGAGCGGGAGAGAAGCTGGCTCTTGAGTGTTCCCACCATAATGTGGTAAATACACAAACCATGATATTTGATGACTGAAATCCCGTTAGGCTCGTCTAGGCATTTATGAAATCCCTTTGTCGTCACTACCGAGCGGCTCCTCGCTCCAAGTGACTGCTACCCAGGGGCTTTTTCAGAGCCTCCATCACCATTTAACATCTGATGCTGGGGGAAGGATCGGGGGAAGGGGACCTTGAAAATTTCAAGTTACAGGTGGCTGTGTGCACATTGCATCAGTCACGATCTATGGGAAAAAAGATCAAGCATTTTCTTTTACAATCAGTTCAGCAATATTCGTTCAGGTCAATCCTGGGGACCCCGAGTCCCTGCTTGTGGTGCTGGTGTTGAGTGCTGTCATAAGACTGCACCCGTGGGGCCCTGGGGTCTCTGGTGGCCCTCAGGGGGAGAAGAAAGAGAGACTTAGGCCCCCTGGAGCAGTGCCTTGAAGCCCTGAGGAGGCTCTTCCCTTTGAGAAGGGAGAGAGTGGTCTTCTTTTCATGAAGTGGGAGTTAGTCCAGGCTTCTGGGGACTCAAGAAAGCCATTTGCTTTGAGGCCCCTTAATTGCCAGAAAGAGAAAGTTCCAGAACCCAGGCCTAGGAGCACAGGATTCATGGTGCAGGATCCAGGATCTAGGACCGGGACCAGACACTTAGGACCCAGGCCCTGGAACCTGTGGCCCAGGACAAGGACCGAGGGCCTAGGACTTGCTCCGCAAGAGCAGGCTGACCTGCTCAGCTTCATGTGTGGTTGCTTCCTTCGGACAGTTCTGACTTAATCAGGGCAGAAGGGACCAGAGGCTTCCAGGCTCTGGGGGGAGGAGAGTGACTTGAGTCGTGGCCATGGCAGCCAGCACTATGCTGTCCTAGATCAGGGTTCCAATGCCTCACACCATACCTCAGGGCCACTGCGTCAAGGCATAGACTGTGACTCACAGATGAATGAATGAGGTCATACTTTCCATGAAACAGATGTGGATCAGCATTCAGAGACTAGAGTCGTCCCTGTAGGTGCACATCCTGATGGCCAGCAAGCCATCTTCCCAGCCACGGGCTAATTCAACCTGCCTTGAAGTCGTCACTCGCCTGCCCTCCACTCAGCGCTGTCTATGAGCCGTCTATGGCCACCCCTCCTATGTGCCCATGCTGCACGTGCCTTTTCTGGACCGTGGCTCGTCACCAACTGACCCTGCTCCTGTCCTGTTTTTTTCGAGGTCTGCACCCTGACACAGCCCAGCAAAGCTACACATGCCGTGGTAATGACCATGATGTCTTAGCAAGTGTCCAGCTTTCTGGTTTTGGGGTGAGGTGGAAAAATCCCCAAACATCTTTATTTTATTTGAGAGGCTGAGAGTTTCATGTCACTGCTGACAGGCAGTGAGTAAATATCCTCCTTGGTTCGTGCCTTCCCTGGGACTCCTTTCTTCTTGTCATCCTCAGACCCACCCACCTGTCTGTCATCTCTTTTTGTGGAACACCCACTGTGTCCCAGCTCTCTGTGTGTTGACCCATTGTATCCTGACCCCATCCAGTGAGGTAGAGCTGCTGTTACCTAACTTCACAGGTGAGGGACCAGAGTTCAGATGTAAGGGATCTGAGTTCATAGGTAAGGGACCAATGTTCACAGATGAAGGACCAGGTTCATAGGTTAGGGACCAAGGTTCACAAGTGAGGGACCAAGGCTCACAGGTGAGGGACCAGGGTTCATAGGTTAGGGACCAGGGTTCACAGATGAGGGACCAGAGTTCACAGATGAGGGACCAGAGTTTATAGGTGAGGGACCAGAGTCTACAGGTGAGGGACCAGGGCTCACAGATGAGGGACCAGAGTTTACAGGTGAGGGACCAGGGTTCACAGATGAGGGACCAGGGTTCACAGATGAGGAACCAGGGTTCACAGGTGAGGGATCAGGGCTCACAGATGAGGAACCAGGGCTCATAGATGAGGTACCAGGGTTCACAGATGAGGAACCAGGGTTCCCATCGAGGGACCAGGGTTCACAGATGAGGGACCAGAGTTTACAGGTGAGGGACCAGGGCTCACAGATGAGGACCAGGGCTCACAGATGAAGGACTAGGGTTCCCAAGTTGAGGGATCAGGGTTCATAGTTTAGGGACCAAGGTTCATAGGTGAGGGACAAGGGTTCACAGATGAGGGACCAGGGGTTGATAGGTTAGGGATCAGGGTTCACAGATTAGGGACCAAGGTTCACAAATGAGGGACCAGGGTTCATACGTGACGGACCATGTTTCCCAGGTGAGGGAGCAGACACCCCAGGGGCTCTATAGTCACCTCCCCTATGATGGCGGAGCTGCAGAGAGTGATGCCCAGGTAGCCAGGCTGCAGTGCTCTGGATGCTCGTGTCTCTTCATTTCTCTAGATGATACTGATCACAGGGGATGACAGGCCAGTTTACAGTTTACCATTACCCCTCATCCCCTTGGAGTTCAGCCTGAGGTCTGCAGTCTCCTGCCCTCCACGGGCTGTGCATGGGCTTCTCTAGGCTGGGCTATCCCAAGGGGCCTGAAAGGAATGGAGTCCTGTGTCCCTAACCCCCTTGGCCTCATGTCTGGGTCCCTGCCTTTGTCCTGGGTCCTGCTGCTTCTGCCCATCACCCCAGTCTCCTACTTGCCTGGTCCCGCCGCCCCCCTCCAGCATCTGGAGAGCAGCTGGAGCCCACTCTGGGGCCTCAGCTTCCTCCCAGGCTGTACCCACTCCATCTGCTCCTGGAGAGCAGTGTGTCCCCAGCCTCCCCGCTGCACACACTGTCAGGGGTCACCTGTCACTTCTTCTCAGGAAGCCAGGTCTGCAGCTCCCAGCAGATCTGTGGGGAAAGTTATCTTCACAACTTGTTTCTTTTCCCTGAAAAGGCAGGTTTGCTATTTTGGGCTTTGGCTTGATTCACTCAGCTATCACTTAACTGGAGGACATTCTTTCCTGTGAAACTTAACCTGAGGCCTCTCCAGCTGCAGCGACCCTCCTGGTGCGAGTCAGAGACCAGCCCAGGGCCTGCAGGAAGACCCTCTGTGTGCCCATGTAGGGAGGGGGTCCATCACTGTTTAAAGGAAAACAGAAGTCAGATAAAATAAAGTAAATAAGACAAAGTGAAATAAAATACAATACAATAAAAATGTAAAGTAAAATAAAGTAAAAAATAAAATACAGTAAAAATGCAAAGGAAAATAAAATAAAATATAAAATAAAGTAAAATATAGTATAATCAAGTAAACTAAAATATAATGAAGTAGCAATGAACTGACCTATTGAGCCTGGCCAACCCTGGCTTAACCAGAACTACTGTGAAATCATACTGGCTGACCTTGAGCCTGGGGTCCCAATGACAGAGGGAGCTAACTCTCTGGGGAGTCTGTAAGGAACAGACCCCTTTATCATGGCCAGACTCGCGTTCCTACTGTGTATCAAAGTCTTGGGGTTTACACATCCTAGTGACAGGTTCTGGAAGATGCATCCTGGGACCCAAGGGCACTGGGACTCTGCCTGACTCTGGACGAGACCGTTGCTGGTCAGGGGCCCAGATTCCCTGTCTGCAAAGTGAGGGAAGCTGGAAGGCGACTTTACCATCTCTCTGCCTCTGGGGTCTGCGGAGTTAATTGGGAAAGCACCTTAAATGTGGGAGCTCTGATATGGTCCAGGACACAGCAGGTGTCAGTGGGTCAAGAGAGGGCTTTGTCAAACCTCTGCCCCTCACCAAATTTAGGGTTTCCGTCACCATCCTCTGTCCTCTCTACAAAAACACACACCACATATTTAAAATATGAAACTTAAAAATAGCAAAGCATACTTCTACTCTTGTGCTGTTCTTCCCTATTATTCAAAGATCAGATTCTCTGCCACCTGAGTGGAAATTAGGAGGTGTGCTCGAGAACGGTGGGTGTCAAGTCAGGATGAGTCCCCAGAAGCACAGATGACAGACATGTTGGCTCCTCCACGAAGGAGATTGTGTTGCCCATGGTTTCAACCAGGAGCGATTTCTATCTCCCTATGGTTTCTCCCAGGATAGTTCTGCTCCTGGATCCCAGGCCGGCAGGCGTTTGGGAGAGCTTTGATGCGCTCATCCAGTAACAAGTCCACATCAAACGGAGTCCTTACTTGGTGGCAGCTGCTCAGATGATGTTTCACATGCCCTTTGCTGAGAGGCTTGGAGTTTGAAGTCTCCCGAGCTAATTTAAAAGCAAGTTGATGTGGAAAGATGTTGGAACGTTCTCCGAAAACAGTAGTGGACGTTAATCTCTAATAAAACAAAACATTACCGTTCATCTGGAAAGATTTTATACATCAAATGCAGGGTCAAAGGAAAAAAGAAAAGACAATTTGATTAACTGATGCTTTCTATGTTAATATTGACTTTGAAAGAGTTCATAGAGATAAAAAGGCTGAGGGCTAACTTGAAAGCTTAGATGCTAAAGATAGATGCAACAATACATTTACAAGGAGGAAGTGCATAATGAACGTGTTTGTAGAAACAGAGCGAATGAGTGCCAGTGAATGTTAAATACCAGCAGGAAAAAAGAGTATTAAAGAGAAGAAAATAAATTCATGGCCTCATCTCAACTTTGTGTAAAACTTGCTGCATTGACCTGAGCCTGGGCTGGACTGAATGCAATCGACAGCTGCCTCTCTGTCTTTGGTTCTTGTAGCTGCCCTTGGCACGCCCGTCTCCATGCCCCACCTGAGATTCAGGCAACACCAGCCACATAGGTGGATGCTGCTCCATAGCATGGCATTTTGAACCACAACATCAAGCCTATCTCTTGTAGCCCCTGAAGCTGGCATGCATGGAGCATTCCGACACAAAAAAACTAGGAGATAGTGACCCACACCTAGCTGGGCATCTCAGTTCCACAAAGTCCTGAGACATCTAGAGCTATCCCTTAGGTATAGCCCTCATCCTCAAGGCCCCAAAAGGCAGCTGGAGTGCCTGCCTTCACATCCATGTCCAAGTAGCCGGATAAAGAGAGATTCAAAGAGAAAGCAGAAAAGACATTTCTTGGAAGCTGTCACATGACACTTTTCATTTAGTTTCAAAATAGAGGATCTATTCTGGGCAGTCATTTGTGAAAGACAAAATCCAGGGGTTCTGTTTCTATGGAACATCAGGAAAAAGGAAATTAAGGGACAACCATCAGTCTCTATAGAGAAGAGAACAATTGATGTGGACAAGGTGCTAGGCTGATGGACAAAAATAATGAAAAATATAATGGAAAAAATAATGGAAGAGAATTTGTTTGTGTCTGTGTATAAGATTCTGGGAAGAACAGAACGCCATGAGCAGGCCCAGGACCTATGAAGCTGACTGTTGGAGGATGTTTTTTGAGTCATAGGAGGCAAGTTATTAGATGTTAAGAGGCTAATGGGTCCTGATATAAATGGTCCAGAAAAATATGAATGCAAACAGAAACTTCTCAGAGTTGCCACTTGGTCTTAGAATTGTAAGAATTTTGGACTCATCTCTTTCGACACCTAGCAAAAAACTCTAAAAACACTCCAATCACACATTCAGTCATTCCCTGGGCAGATATTTGAGCTATAAATACTCTGACAGTTCCTGGATACCAGCTCATGGGAGAGTCTTCCCCTCACCTTGTTAACAGACCTCACTAGTTAAAAAAAAGAACTCAACCTATTCTTTAGCCAGTAGCTAAACTTTTGTTAACAGTTGTTGCCATAACAACTGAAGTCAAAGTTAGCCGTTTAGTTGATTTTGCTAGATATCTCCAGGTAAAGAGAAAATGAATGTGTCTAGACTTAATGCATGTGACTACCACTTTTATTAACCAGTTGAGTCACCAGGATGTCCCATCTCTTAATAGTATAGAGTTTACTGGAGGTTTCCATATCTGAGTTATTGAGCTGAATAGATGGATGTGTGGTTTTCACTGGCAATTCCTCTGTGCAGAGTTTGATTCATTTCAAGACTTATAAACTGTGCATAATGCAGCTCAACATTTCTGAACAGCTCTTGACTACAAAAGGGCCTCTCCTCAAGGAACAGGTGTTTGTGGCCATGTGCTTCTGATTAATACTGAAATTTGGCAAAACTTTGGGAAAGATTCTTCTGTATTTATTCACCAGATTTATGCTAATCTTTACAATCATTGTAGCTTATATCTCTGGGGATGAAAAGACATAGCGACAAAACAAGTTAATAAAGAATGGCACTATGTTTTTTGGTTTTGTTTTGTCTGAGTTAGTTCTACTTAGAAAGCATCAATTTTAGCATCTTGCAGATTTTGAAAAAGACATGCCATGTTGGTAATTTAATTTAGGGGGTTGTAAAACAATATCTTTGGAGAAGGCAATGACACCCCACTCCAGTACTCTTGCCTGGAAAATCCCATGGATGGAGGAGCCTGGTCGGCTGCAGTCCAAGAGGTCGCTAAGAGTCGGACACGACTGAGCGACTTCACTTTCACTTTTCACTTTCATGCATTGGAGAAGGAAATGGCAACCCACTCCAGTGTTCTTGCCTGGAGAATCCCAGGGATGGGGGAGCCTGGTGGGCTGCCATCTATGGGGTCGCACAGAGTCGGACATGACTGAAGCTACTTAGCAGCAGTAACAAAGCAATATCTTAAAGTAGGATGGCATAGAATATAATAGATTAAAATATCATGGAATAATATAACTGAATAGGATGGAATAAAATAGAAAATATAGAGAACATGGCATCCAATTGGAGAAGGAAATGGCAACCGACTCCAGTATTCTTGCCTGGAGAATCCCATGGACAGAGGAAACTAGTGTGCAATAGCCCATGGGGTCACAAAGAATTGGGCATGACTGAAGCAACTTAGCATGCTTGCATGGCTTCCACTAAGGGTAAGAAAATTTATATGAAAATATGTGGGCAGTCCATGTTCTAAGTGGCTGAGGACCAGGATGTGGGCTGGAGGGAGCAGCTATATGTCATCTTCGTATTCCTGTTATATATGGTAACTTGGAGATTTTCTTCCTTCATTCTCTTCTACTTTTATTGTATATCCCAGTCAAAAACAAAACAAAACAAAAACAAAAACAAAAAAATGATGAAAATTCTCCAGCATAGACCAAACTTCAAATGTTAGATACAGACAGGAGAATAATGATCATATTTAGAATTTTATCTTCCAAATCTAAAGAAGTCATGTAATCTATTAAAAGTAGGGAAGAATAGCTTTGAGTAAAACTTGTTTCATTTATTTAAAAAGGATACATTTACAAACCTTAAAGTTCTTGCTTACACAGATTTCCACCACCTTTGCAGAGACCTAAGCCTTTTTAAAAAGTCCCCAAATCAATAAGATTTCCTTTTCACATCACTAAGAATGAGTGTTTAAATCAAATGTACTGATCTACAAGGTGAACCAGGTTAAGGACTAGATCTAAAAGACCAAGACAGCCCCTCCTCAAACCATCATTAACAAATACGTCTTAGCATCTGTGTACCAGGAGGGTGGCAGAGATCAATTAGAATAAAAGGAGGCAAAATTCCTGTCTATATGGAGCTTACCATGGAGAAGACATTCAGCGGCTGAAGTTCAGGAATTTTTTTGGAAAGAACTCTTTGGCTTCTTTATGGAATACAGAGTGGAGAGAGGCAGAGTGTTTGGCCATGAAGGGAAGGAAAGACCCTGACCAACATAAAGGAGGAGAGACAGGGTGGGCAGGGGTGGGGTCTCCCTGCAGAGACCCCCTGAGTTGGCCCCTCACCCTGCCTCTTCTGACTCTGGGTCCTCGGGGAGGGACAGAGAATGTTCTCCATCTCAGGTTGCTCATCTGTAAAGTAAGGATGCTGCCTAAGGTGCCTGCTTTTGGTTGGCTGTGAAGGATAAATCAGGTAACAGATATAAAATGCTTGCACGGTGCATGGCACTTGGCAAGGGTTCTTGTTGTAAGTCTGACTGTAACATCTTGTTATTTGCCTGTAACATCTTCCACACTGAGTGTTGACTATGCAGGGCTTTCATTCTGCAGTATCCTGAATGAGGAAGGCAACTCAGGGAATAAACTTGCAGGGACTTCTGCATAAAAATTGCATGAAATTGTGCTCTGAGTAAGAAAAACCCATTAGAAAAACATCTTAAATGCTGAAAGGCCCTTTAGCAGTTAAGGAGTGGTTCTGCACATTTAACCTGCATTTGGACTCTCTGTAAAACAAATTGGTTTATCATTTCTTCATCTGGTGCTGGTTACTTTAGTCATTGCTGGTGCTGTTACTCAGAGTATAAAATTAAACATCTTTTTTGCAGAAAAAAGTTTCCTGCTGATTTTTCTCTCAAATAATACAGGGTGAATTTTAAAAGTTCTCAGACACACAAAGCGCCATCTCTTTTTAAGGCTTTAGGAGGGGGAGTTTCTGAACAAATGAACCAAACACACAATAAAAGAACCTTTTTTTTCTCTTTTTCCTTAAAAAAAATATATTGCAAGCACACCATCTACACATGAACCCCACCAGGCTGGTGGGTTATCTTTCTGATTAGATGACCGACTCCTATTTTTGGATTCCCCCTTTTGCTGGATCCATTTTTGTTTCTTAAAAGAGAAAAAGTGCTAGCTGCCTGCCAGGCCTTAGCGCTCTGGTTTGAACAGAGACATCTGAAATCTAGGCCAGGCGGGAAGGGCTTCTTTCATCCCCGCAGTCGCTCACCGTGGGGAGCGCTTGGTGTCATGTCTGCAGCTCCCCCAAAGCCGGCTCTGCCCAGAACCCCCAGCCCCCGCGGGGCTGCGACATCTCATTAGCTGTGCAGGCCATCTCTGAACTGCCCTGAATGTGGTCCCGCACGAGCCTGCCTGCCCCAGCTTTTGAATTCTGACAGGAAGCGAAAGGTGAGCCTTTCACAAATCCTGGAGGGCAAGGGATGGAATCTGGCAAGATCAAGAAATCCAGGTGGGGAAGAGAGACAAGTGAGTCAGATGGGGGAAGGCAAAGCCTCCCACTTCTCCTTTTACAGACTTTGAAAGTGACTTTCTGCGCTTACATTTTGGGAACTTGGAAACAAAAGGGAGAGGACAAACTTTTACAAATGGAAGGAATGAAAATGCTGCTTTACCATGAAACTTTACCATGAACTCCCCACCATCTGACTGACTATAACCTGTCCCACCCCCACCCCAGCAGGGAGCGAAGTTGTTTACAAGAAGATACCTAGCAAAGGGCACACACGGGGGCCTTCACTTCTGGCATGTTGAAGCGTTTCGGATTTTACAAAAATTCTTCCCC